ATATCTCAGACCTTTCGCCTGCTCTAGGCGTCTAATTAGAAAAATCTTATTTGATACTTGCATCACTAGAAGGCTGCCCCAAACGCCGTATATCTATAACTAAAACTGTCCCAAACAACTGAAAATGGATCATCAGTGTCACAAGTTCCATTATGGCAATAAGGAAAAGAATATTTTGGCTTTCAAAGAATGGTTGACGGAAACGATGATAGACAGTTTCCATGCGCTACTCGAGAGCAATTCTGATTATGCACCTCGACCTGTATGGTTGACAATATTTCCCGATCAGATTGTTCCACTGAATAATTCAAAGAAGAAGCATTTGCAAATACTGCACAGTGATTTTGGTGGTGGACATTGGGTTGCTTGCCATTACGATGCAAAATCTATTATTATATATGATTCTCATGAAGGTAGTCGTAATGCAAATATACATAATTTGAATGGAGAAATTCGAATTTTTGTGGACAGATTATTTCCCTTTCATGATTGTCAAAACAATCTAATAGTTTTTCCTAAAGTTCAGTCGCAAGGTGACGGTTATAATTGTGGTCCTATGGCAATTGCGATTGTTACATCTATTCTGTTTGGCGTAAATCCTTGCATCGTGACGTATAATCAATCGTTGCTAAGACCTCATTTGTCCGCAATGTTTGAAAAACAAACAATAACTCATTTTCCGTACCTCTATGATTCAATTGCTCCATTAACGCTACTGCCGTTGGAGACATTGAAAAGACGAGAGAGGGATGCACTGAGAAAAAGACTTGCACGTAGTAAGGAAACTGAGGAACAGCGTTCGAAACGAATCGAAAAAGATGCTTTTTCTCACAAAGAAAAATATTTTATGAATCCTGCAACAAAACGTCAGATAATGCGTGATCAGTACCATAAGGATCCTGAAACAAAACGTCAGATAATGCGTGATCAGTACCATAAGGATCCTGAAACAAAACGTCAGATAATGCATGATCAGTACCATAAGGATCCTGAAACAAAACGTCAGATGGTGCGTGATCAGTACCATAAGGATCCTGAAACAAAACGTCAGATGGTGCGTGATCAGTACCATAAGGATCCTGAAACAAAACGTCAGATGATGCGTGATCAGTACCATAAGGATTCTGAAACAAAACGTCAGATGGTGCGTGATCAGTATCATAAGGATCCTGAAACAAAACTTCAGATGGTGCGTGATCAGTACCAAAAGGATCCTGAAACAAAGCGTCAAAAAATGCGTGATATAACGTTCGCAACGCTCGTACCCAGACGAAAACACAATGCGATGCCTCTCACTCGCACCCGCATGCTCTCCGGTCCGATGAGCTGGTCGCCGCTCATAATTTTTGGATTCGACGGATTCAACTCAATCTATTTGCTGACGACATAGCTCGCCTAAAACAACTACGTTGCGTCTCAAAAACTAGTCCATTAGCTTCGCTTTCTCCTTACATAGACAGAGACAGCTTGTTACGCGTTCGAGGCCGATTAAAGCACGCAAGCCTGTCAGATGACGCTAAACATCCGCTAATTTTAAAATCACATCCATTGGTCCACCTCCTTATCAAACAGATTCATGTTGCGGCCCTACACGCCGGTCCGCAACTCACACTCACGCTCCTGCGACAACAGTATTGGCTAATTCGCGCTCGCGCCACTGTGCGTACCGTCCTCTACCAATGTATTGTGTGCACACGGGAGAATGCACGCGTGCCCGAACAGCTTATGGGCGACCTGCCGGATTTCCGCGTGAACCCGACTTCACGCGCCTTTAATCATACCGGCGTCGATTACGCGGGTCCGTTACTAGTGCGTACGACTAAAGGTCGTGGTCATAAAGCCCAGAAGATTTGCCAATATTTTGTGGAAGTATGAACTTATTACATTCATAATTAATTACTGTATTTTAATCAAATATTTTTATATTTCTTATTCAATTCGGTTAAAATCGTAGATATTTTGTAGATATGAACTGGTAATTATCTATAGTTTCTGTTGTCGATATCAGTAGGCGCGACGGCGTCGCTCTAATTCAAATTATTGTTGATCGACTGGTGGCTTGTACAGCCTCGTGAAGGCTCGCTCCGAGAGGAAAGTGATTACAGCAACGAACATATGTTTACTTGTATTTGCAGCTGATCGATAGCACGGTTCGCAGAGATCTGATTCTCGGTTTTCGGGAGCGTTCCGAGTTTTCGTCACGGAATCCTCTCTTTCTCGGGATCGGATGTTTGTTTCGGCGAATCGGAGCGACGAAAGAATAGGAGTAAATAAAATGTACACGTGACAGCGTGACTCTTATCACATGGGATGGTGAACAAGGTCGATAATGTTGTCGTGTGTCGGTTCGAACGATCGAACCTTTCCGTTGATATACGAGCGATTAATATAAGAGTCTATTGATTATACAAATTTATGACATGCGTCAACAGTTTCTGTATTCGAAAGTCCGGAGGAGATTAAAAAAAGAAACATTTTTCAATATTTCTGTGTATGTAGATGTGGTTGACTATGCATTGCCATATCTGTAAGATTTATGATTAAAATATATACTTCACTGTAAATGTTTTCATAGGCTACGTTTTGATATTTACTGCCAGTATTATAAATCTGTAGTACATAATATAAAATATAGATTTTCAACTAGCAGAATGAATATCAAAAAGCAGCCTTAGCCTTAGCTGTTAATTTTAAATATACATGCTTTTATTTTAGATGGAAGCATACTTCTTGGAGATGCTGCATATCCATGCCTTCTCCAATTAATTACTCCATATCGGGATAATGGACATTTGACACAGGCCCAAAGAAATTTTAATCGTATACACAGTCAATGCAGAATTTCAGTTGAGCATGGATTTGGAATACTGAAACAACGTTTCAGACAGTTATATTTCCTCAAGTTGAGGAATATGCAATTTATCGTCAAATTCATCTTCGCTTGCTGCGTTCTTCACAATTTGGCTGACTTGGATGATTTGCAACACATGGAAGAACCTGAAGTCGACAACCATGCTGATATAAATGCGCAGGTATTGTTACATAATGTCCCAGCAGCAGATAGAAATGAAGATCCGGATGATGATCGACATGGTCGCGATCTCAGAGACGAATTATGTAGACAACTGTTTCAACGATGATTTGAATAAGAGTATCCAAATAAATTTGTTTAAATATTATGTTCTAATATTAATATTTAAATATTATGTTTATTATTTTTTAAATATCGATATCGTGTCGTTGTCAACGTCGACATATCACATACTGCATTGTATCAATCTGTGTCGTTCAATTAAAAATATGTATGATATGTATTTAATGTACAAAACTATCAAAGTGCTTTCAAATATTTATGTTTTTTTAGTTATAAAAATTAGGAAACAATGTACAATTATAGTTTCAAGATTATAACGATTATAACCATAACGATTACACAAATATATTTCATTTATTAATAATTATGAATATTACGATTATATATCTTCTATTCAGCTCATTTTAATTAAAAATTATTAAAGTTTGATATTAAATTTTATAAAATAAATTCTTATGTAATATGTAAGACAACAAATAAAACAATTTTGTTAAAAATTATCCATACATCAGTCTTTTATTGTCATATACGCCTATTTTTCATACAAATAGAGAAATATAACTGCATTGCGTTTTCGTCTGGGTACGAGCGTTCGAACGAAACGAAAAAAAAGGGTGAGCGCAGTTTTAGCCACGAAAAAATCTTTTAATTCCCAATGGTTTACGGAAATATAATGTTGAATACTTAATAATTAAACGGACAAAAAAATTGAACACGAAAATGATAATGCAGTTTCCAACAATTGGAAATCAATAAGAAATGGCGGTGGTCGTCGATTGCAAGTTCTGCAGGTTTGTCACGCGTGTTTATCTTATGTAAATAAATAAAAGCATAAACCGCAAAATAAAAGTTATTTCAACTTGAAATAAAAATTTTAAATAAAAGGAACAAAATTATATAAATTTGAAATACAATAATCATTTACGTGAAATTTTAAAGTTTGTAACTTTGCTTAATAGTATATAATTAGTGATTGAAAATGTGTACATTTATTACTTTTTGTGTATTTGAGCACATTTTTTATGATGAAAGATGTCAATTATTAGATCTAATTTTTTATTCCAAAACAAACAACTTGTCTTTTATTATTGCTTAATGAAGATTCTAGAATTTAACAATAACTATTTTCGGATGAACCTTGTCTCGACTGAAAATTATAATATCTGAAAATCCTCAATTAAATTTTACTTCGAAATAATTTAACTGTAGATAAGAATTATTTTGTGTTTTACTACATTTTCTCCTTTGTCGCAAAGGACAAACTTATGAATTTCTTATGGATACATTAATTTAGTGATTCATCTTATTATATCTTCGCGTCTTCTTCGTCGAAATTCTTGTGATGATTTTTTACTTTCTATTCCTCAGTATCTAAGTTGCCGAAAACTATTTCGTGGTTTTTGCGTGATGTAATTGATCATTTGGAATTCGAAAACATGTGGCAGATGTGTACTTCGAGTTTGGATGCATGACTTTGAAAACAGCACAGTTTTAGTGCGGTTGAGTGAAACAAGTGTGTGCCCAATTTGATCTCGTACTTTTGTTTTGATTGTTAGTGAGTGACTGCTATCCGTCAATGGACGATTTGCGCTCGTTTACTGATTGAGATTGACTGTTAACGAGTGGGCGTCGAGCTCGGACGTGGCTAGTTCAATAGAAGATTGTTCTTCATTTACATTCCTATCGAAAACATTTTAAAATATCTAAAAATATATCTAGAAATGAATTAAAAAACTTTAAGGGGTGATCTAGCGCACTGAGACAGAGTTGCCGACGTGGGGTGCAGGTGCATCCTTGAGCCACTTTGCGTGGGGCGAGCTCCGTGCACTATTCGGATGACATTTTTCCATAAGTGATCCCTCATCCGATGCATATGACGCTAACGTACAAGGTAACACCGTCTACTCTACTCAATAAAAACAGAATATTGTAAGAATGCGAGGAGCGGTGCCCCAACGAGGAAGTGACCGGGGGTCAGCGCCGAGACGTCCTCTGGATCATCTGAGAGTGCCTGTAACGGACGTGAATTCAGACAAGCTTCGATCTGGGCGAGGAGTGTGCTCAACTCCTCGAACGTGAGGGTGGTCTCGCCGATCACCCGACGGAGGTGAAACTTGGTCGACTTTACGGCGGCCTCCCACAAACCACCAAAGTGCGGGGCCGCTGGCGGGTTGAAGTGCCAGCGGATTCCTTTTCTGGTGGCGGCAAGGATGACACTTTGACCTTCGGCTGTCGCTGCGTTAAAGAGACCTCGCAGCGTCCGATCTGCCCCGATGAAAGTCGTGCCGCAGTCGCTGTAAATCTCAGCGCACAAACCCCGGCGGGAGATGAAGCGGCGCAGCGCGGCGATGAAGGCCTCCGAGGTGTAGTCCGAGACAACTTCTAAGTGAATGGCCTTCGACCAGAAGCAGACGAAGACGGCGATGTATCCCTTGTGCGCACGGTGTCCACCCCTTGCTGGTCCGGAGGAGGATTGGTCCCGCGTAGTCCAAACCGGTGCTGAGGAACGGTCGAGTTGGCGTTACTCGGTCCCGAGGAAGGTTACCCATCGGAGGCTGTGGTGTTGCGGCGCGCCATCGAGTGCAGGTCACGCATCGGTGTAGCTGCTGTTTGACGGTGGTCCTTCCTCGGGGCACCCAGAAACGCAGGCGGAGCAAGCCGAGAGTCAGTTGCACACCTCCGTGCAGTGTCCGTCGGTGGCAGGAATCAATCACCAGCCGAGTCAACCATGATGCCGCCGGGATGATCATTGGATGTCTTTCGTCGAGTGGTAGCTGAGCATGCTTGAGACGCGACGCGCCGACGCGCAGCACGCCTTGATCATCGAGGACCGGACTCAACCTCGCTAGGTGGCTTCGCGGTGGACTAGTGCGTCCAGCAGAGGCCGCAGCTACGTCCGTAGGAAAGTGGAGCGCCTGCACCACTCGCAGCCATCGAAATAAGGCGACGTCCAGCTCGTCCGGATGCAAAGTGCGGCCAAGTATGACGTCGCGTCTCGCCGGATTGAGCCATCGCCGACACCATGCAGTAACTCGCAGCAGCCTTTGTAGCGTCGGGAACCGGAGGAGGAGGTCAGGTTCGGCCGTGATCGGTGCCTTGACCACCAAACTGGTGGCTCGCTGCTCCGGGAGGTCATCCTCTGCGGCTTCGATGACGGAACAAGGCCATGCAGTCTCGTCTCCTGACAGCCAGGTAGGTCCTGTCCACCACAGTTTATGCTTAATGAGTTCGTCAGGAGTAACACCGCGTGATGCACAATCTGCAGGATTCTCTCGTCCAGCGATGTGTCTCCATTGAGCGTCTGGCAGCAGGGTCTGGATCTGAGACACTCGATTGGCGACAAAGGTTTTCCAGCGGGTGCTGTGTCCTTGAATCCAGTGGAGCGTGACCTTTGAATCTGACCACAGATGCACTGGCGTCGTTGTCAAACCGAGAGTAGAGCGCACGTGGAGCATGAGCGTGGTAAGTAGAGCTGCTGCACAGAGTTCCAAGCGAGGTAACGACACCTGCTTGACAGGTGCGACCTTGGATTTTGCCATCAACAGGTTGATTGATGTTTTCTCTGTTGCAGCGTTGCGGATGTACACCACGGCGGCGTACCCTCGCTCTGATGCGTCGGCAAACCCATGGAGCTGCAGTTGTGAATGGTCGGTCCCAGTGTTGAGCCAGCGAGTTATGCGGATGTCATCTAGAAGAGGAAGCTGATTCAACAACTGCCTCCAGCGGTGTGCGTCCTGATCAGGCAGCGGGGAGTCCCAGTCCAGCCGTTGAAGCCACGTCGTCTGAATCAGAATTTTGGCTCTGATGACGACAGGTGCGAGCCACCCCATCGGGTCAAAGAGTCGAGCCGTCTCGGCCAAAACTCGTCGCTTCGTGAAGTCGGTGATTGCACGCGGACGTATGGTGAAGGAGAACCAGTCACCTTGCGGATGCCATCGGAGGCCCAAGGTAGCGTGACTCTCTCCCTCCCATGAGTGCGGTTTGCGTTGATGCCGATGTTCCGGTGGAACTCCGGTGAGCACCTGCTGATCGTTGGCAGCCCACTTCCTCAAAGGAAATCCGCCCGCCATGCAAAGACTCCGTAGTTCCTGCTGAAGGTCGATAGCGTCCTCCAAGCTATCAGCGCCGGTGACCACGTCGTCGACGTAGCAGTCGTGTCGCAGTGCCTTGACTCCGCGTGGATATCGTGCCTCTTCGTCTGCTGCGAGTTGATGAAGAGTCCTGATGGCGAGAAAGGGTGCACACGCTAGCCCGTAGGTCACGGTCCTCAGCTCGTACTCGTGGACGTCATCAGAGCTGGTGTGGCGCCACAAGATGGTTTGCAGGCGACGATCCTCCGGATGTACAAGAATTTGTCGGTACATCTTCTCGATATCCGTGACGAGAACGTACCGATGCCAACGCCACGAAGTAGGACATCAGCGAGTGTTGGCAAGAGATTGGCTCCAGTGAGGAGGTGTGCGTTCAGCGACTCTCCGGACCGTGTGCGCTGGGAGCCGTTGAACACGACCCTGAGCTTCGTGGTCGTGCTTGACTCCTTGAGGACCCCGTGATGCGGTAAGTAGCACCTAGGGCTGCAGGTTGTTGAAGTTGTGCTGACCTCCATATGTTGCAGGTTCTCGTATTCCTCCATGAAATCTCGATAGAGGTCACCGAAGCGAGGATCTCGTGCTCCCTTCCGCTCCATGGCTTCCAGGAGGCGCTCTGCGGGTCGACGAGTCTCGCTGAGCGATGTCGGCGGCGGTGAAGTACATGGCAGCCTCACCATGTACCTGCCACTGGACGTGCGAGTGACCGTGCGCACGTAGAAGTCTTCGCACCTGGCTTCGTCGGCGGTGAGCGGTGTCCCAGCTACTGGCTCGCGTTCCTGCTCCCAGAAGCGTCGAACCATGTTAGCGAGGTCGTGGTCTGTGGTGCACTGGAACGTGCGGCGATGGCCTTCGGGTGCTGCGGCGTCGTAGCCTCCGGACAAGATCCATCCTAAGCTCGTCTGCTGGGCGATCGGCATCCGTGATCCGCCCTTGCGAAGGCCTTCCTCGAGGATCAGCGAGTAGACTTCTGCTCCCAGAAGTAACTCCGCAGGATCGTCATCCAGGAAGCGCGGGTCGGCCAATCGAAGTCCGTGGATGTGAGGCCAGCTACGATCTTCACGTTGAGCGGTGCCTTGTTGCAATGAGATGCGCGGCAGCACAAAGGCCACCACGCGAAGCTCGGCATTGGTCACGTCAGATGTGATGTCTATCGTGACCTTGCCACGCGCTGATCCAGAGCGAGTCCCTCCGATGCCGAAGATGGACAGATCCGTTGAAGCTCGAGGCAGCCGAAGACGCTGAGCCAGAGCCTCAGAGATGATGGACACCTCGGAGCACTGATCTATCAAGACTCTAACCTCGTGTGGTGATCCGTATCGATCAGCGACCTTGACGCGAGCGGTTGCGAGAAGGACGGCCTTGTGCGTCTTAGCTTGCCGTGCAGTGACCAGTGTGGTGGCAAGTGAAGTGGCCTCAGCGGATGGTGTTGATGTGGATGCCCCGTGCAGCATGGTGTGGTGTCGTGCGTTGCAGGTGAGGCAATTTTTTTGACTGACACCGTGCTAAGAAATGATTGCCTAAGCAGTTGAAGCACAGTCGGTTGGTCTCCACGAACGTTTTCCGCTCAACCGCAGTCTTGGCCTTGAAGCTTTTGCACGTCATCAAGGTATGGTTTTCACGGCACAGTGCACAGTGAGGTGAATCCGCGCCTTGGTGCTTCGTGACGTGCGCTTTGGCGAATCGTGATGTTTCTCCAGGTCCCTTTGTGACACTCCTCGGTCGTGCGGCGTTGAGCGTCAATACTCGTCGACTAATAAAGTCGAGAAGTGCCTCGTTCTGTGGTGGTTCGGTGGAGTCTGAAGTGGTTGACTCCCATTCGAGACGAGTGCGTGCGTCGAACAGTTCGACGACCAGGTGGTTGAACAGGTCCATCCCATGCGAGTTGATAGGACGTCCGATGCTCTCCTGTGCGTTGACTGCGGCGGTGACAGCGTTGTGGATGCGGCTCAGCTCCTCGGCGGTATCTCCCTTCATCTTTGGCACGGCGGTAAACGTGGCAAAGTTGGAGCGGATTAATTCTCTTTTGTTATTGTAGTGCTTGTCCAAGATTGCCCAAGCGCGATCGTAATTGTCACTCGTGACAGGTAGTGACTTTATCAACTTTTCAGCCGGACCTGTCAGACACGAGCGGAGGTGGTGGAGCCGCTCAATGTTCGAGATCGAATTGCTGCTCACAATGGACAGAAAAAGATCGCGAAAGGATGGCCAATCGGCGTAGGCGCCAGAGAACGGCGGCAACTTGATGCGCGGCAGCGAAGACTTCGATGCGACGTCGACGGATGGAGATACGTTCGGCTTCCGGAAATGTTCGGCATAACTATCCAAGGTACTGCGTTGTGCAACGTACAGATTTTCCGTATCTCCATGCAACTCCGACTTGTAGTATTCGCTCTCACAATATTTTTCTTTCAGAGCTGCGCGAATGAGATCATGCTGTGCCTCGAATTTCGTCCACAGCTGATCTAAGATTCTGGTGCGTGTAGATACGGCACTGGCGGTGATGTTGGTCGTGCCCAGCTTCTTCAGGTATTCCACGGAGCGCGAAATACGGACCTGGATCTCACGTTGGCAATCGATCAACGTGTTCACATCCATGGTGAACTACGAGCACTCACGAACTACACGAAGACACGTTCACAAACTTGCGGGTGCCGGCGAGAAGATCCGGCTCGAAGGACCAGAAATATGTTCGCGAACGCGCTGCGTGAGAGGAATCGAACGACACCAAAAAAAGGATGAGTCACTTTTAGTATAAAAGAAACTTTTAATATACGAATCTTTACGGAAATATAATGTACAATACTTAACAATTAAACGCACAAAAAATTAACACAAAATCTAATCAGTTTCAGCGGACAATTCGAAATCAAAAGAAAAGGCGGTGGTCGTCGATTTAATGTTCTGCGGTTTTTCTAAGCGGTTTACTCTTATGCGTACACGGCGGAAAGCGATAAGACCGCAAACCGGGTGTGAGCTCCTCTTTTATCATTTTCGGAGAGGAGCCCACCCTCGCGTGAAGCGCCAATAATTTTGCGTGATTTTAAAGTGGCGCATGCTCAATAGCATATAATTATTCGGCGGAACGGTTGCGACACCGTTACTTGTTTGTGTATTTGAGCGGTTTTTTATATGACAGCTGTCAATTTACGACTCTTTTTTATTCCATTACAAACAAATGTGACTTTATTATTGCCGATCGAAGATTCTAGAATTTAACAATAACTATTTTCGAGATCGACTGACTTATAATGAAAAAAAAATATAATAATAAAATTACTAATTAATTTTTTTGCCGAAATAAATTATCTTGACTGAAAACGTATAATATATCATGAACATCACTAATTACTTTTACTGCCGAAATAATTAACTGGCGCAATAAGAATTATTTGCATCTCAACAAACTGCATAATGCAATATATATTTTATTATGATTTTTATCGATAATTACAAAAAAATGTAAATTGAACAAGAAATGACAGTTTTGATTTTCAATCACGTTTGTACGCTTGACTGCAAGTAAATAATGCTGCTTTATTTATGTAAAAAAAACTCGATAAGTAAATGCAGCTTTTCCCATTAAAAAACTCAATAAATAAATGCAGCTTTTTTCAACTAAAAGAACTCAATAAGTAAATGTAGCTTTCCTCTCTTGCAGAGCTTGATACAGCTTTGTCACGCTGTTTATCAAAATAACAGAAAATAAATAAAAAAAAACTAAAATAAACTTTAATAAAATAAAAGTTATTTCAACTTGAAATAAAAATTTTAAATAAAATTAACAAAATTATATAAATTTTAAATACATATAACTTCATTTACGTGAAATGTTCATAAAGTTTGTAACTTTGGTTATAAAGTAAAAAATGAAGTGATTGAAAATGTGTACATTTATTAGCTTTTTTTTACCTTTGAATCCTGTAGAGTTACACATTTTTCCCAATGATGAAAGATCTAATTATTAGATCTAATTAAGATATAATTATTGTAAAAACAACACACTTGTCTTTTAAGAAAATTAAAATTAAACTTAATAAACTGTTCATAAATTTATAAATTTGTAATAATATCTTATTAACATTTTTTAAAAGACAATGTGTCTCTTTTTTATAATTACTATATCTGACAGATCTTGTCAGGAAAAATGTGTAACTTCGCAGATTTATATGTAGAAAAGATTAATAAATGTGTTTTACTACATTTTCTCCTTTAAGTAGGCAAAGGAACAAACTTTATGAATGTCTTATGTATACATATAATTTAGTAAACCTTCAGTCTTATTATATCTTATTAATCTTCTTCGTCTGATAATTCTTGTGTTGAGTATTTTTTACTTTCTATTCTCTCTAGTATCTTAAGTTGCCTTTGTAAGATACTATTTCGTTCTTTTTGCAATTGTAATTGTTCTATTTGTACTTCATTACATTTTTTAAGCTCCGTCAGATATTTTGTACGTGTTTCTTGTTTGGCATCACTTTCTCTTTGTAGCACAGCACAGATGGATTCCTTAAGTGATTGTAGAGTATGCGCCAATTTGCCATCTCGTACTTTTGCTTTTGTATTTATTAAAGATGAGCAACTGCTATCCGTCATGGACGATTTGCTGCTACCTATTACTGATTGAGATTGACTGTTAACTGCAGATGGTGTCGAAGGTGGCGAGTCTAGTGCAATAAAAGATTGTTCTTCATTTACATTCCTATAATAGAAAACATTTTAAATTATATCTAAAAATATATCTAGAAATGAATTAAAAAACATTTTAAGGAGATGATTACTCACTGAGACAAATGTTGACTGACCACTTTTTGCAAAATGTCTTCTTGAGAAACCATTCCATTGCGGCCAGCTACAAAAGATGGCACTCCACTGTGACTTTTTCCAAATAAGTTTATCATTTCACTGTAAAGATACATATGTATTCTATTACTTACTTGTTAAATACTAAATATAATACTAACTACTTAATAAAAACAGAATATTGTAAGAATGACAAAATAAAAATATGAAACAAATCGACTGAACTATTAATTATAATGTTTAATTCAAAAAATATATATATAATTATACAGAAAAACACAAGATAGAACTTACTCTTTAAATGGAAGAGGTTTAGTGCCTTTTCCAGAACTATTTTTCCATGGTCTGTTTGATATGTTTATCCCATTTCTTCTTCAACAATTTAAATTTATTTTTCATGTGATTTTTAGTAGCATTCACATACCTCTTTCTTGGAAGGATTCTGCTATCGCTTGAAACATAGCCTCTTTACTTTGATATTTTCTTTTCTGGAATTTTTTTTCATGCTGTTCATACTCTGTGAAAAACAACATTATGGTTTTATAGTCCCAAATAAAATAGCCATCATTATTGACACCAGAAGTATTCTCTTTTTCATTATCTGAGTCTATAATTGAAGAGTCCAATGAAGACACAATTGTAGGCGTGTGCTGCATAAAGCTTGTTACAGGAATCGTAACAGAAGAACTCTCATGGATTTTAATCTGAGGCTGAATTTCAGAAGGACCTGCTTTATTTAGTAAAGCATTCACAATTGAAAAGTCTAGTGAAGACAAAGTTGTAGGTGTGTACTGCATAGAGCTTGTTACAGGAACTGTAACAGAAGGACTCTCGTGGATTATAGTCTGAGGTTGAATTGTAGAAAAACTTATTTTATTCAGTACAGAATCCAAAGGCGCAGTTGTGGTTAGGAACTGTGTCGAGTTTGTTGTAGCAGTTACAACAGAAGTACACGCAAAAGTCTGGGGAGGCTTAATTAATTTTAATGATACCAGTTTAGGTTTCACAGCTGAAAAATAAAACTATTAATATAGTACAATATTTATGCAATTTAAATTATCTTAGAATAAAATCATTTAATCTATCTCTTAGAATTTATTTTATTAGTTAATTAAGT